TGTTATATTAAAGTGTTTCTTCATTATCCATTCAAGCCGTCTCCAGCCATTATTACACGAAGTTACTCTCTAAGTAAAGTTTAAACATGGTTGGAACAGTGCGACTTTAACTTGCTGGAGATGACCAGTTTTAAAGTGCATGTGCATTTTAAAGAAAAATTAACATTTTATGCTCAGTGGACAGTTGACCGGAAATATATAAGGATAATGGTAAAAATATCTCAAAATATTTAACATCATTCGTTCTTAAGCATCACAACGTTACACACCTCCATTCACGTTTGTTTGTTATGATAGTTTGTTTGTTTGACGTTAAGCACAAAGCTACGCAATGGGCTATCTGTGATCTGCCCACCACGGGTATCGAAACCCGGTTTCTAGCACTGTAAATCCGCAGACATACCGTTGTGCCACTGAGGGTGGGGGACTTAAGATAGTACCAGAAGTAAAATTAAATACCGAACATGGTTTTTACACTTGTTTCACATTTCTAAAAACCTTGAGATCTATTAGATTATTTCCGATTTTGCTTTTGTTTTTATTACATAACGAAAAACAACATTCCTTCCAAGATCAATGTGACTGTGTACCTCAGTTGTTCCTGTATTGGATCATATTGTTATTTTTTCTTCTATCCAAAGAAGTCCGGTCCCGATATATTTCTAACTCTATTGTAATGACCTTTTTATGTAAAATCTGGTTTTAAAAAATACATAATGTACTTGTAAATGCGTTTATATCTGTATTCTCTAAAAGGCTTTAACTTTGTTTGTTTTGTTTTGAATTTCGCGCAAAGCTACACGAAGACTATCTGCGCTAGCCATTCCTAATTTAGCAGTGTAAGACTAGAGGGAAGGCAGCTAGTCATCACCACCCACCGCCAACTATTGGGCTACTCTTTTACCAACGAATAGTGGGACTGACCGTCAAATTATAAGGCCCCCACGGCTGTAAGGGCGAGCATGTTTGGTGGGACGGGGATTTGAACCCGCGACCCGCAGATTGCGAGTCGAGTGTCCTAACCATCTGGCCATGCCCGGCCCGGCTTTAACTTTACTAGACTTATTGTGTTTAAGAAGTATATATATAGAACAGTTTTTCTTTATTTGATCGCAGATTTTTAATAAGTATTGCATCAAACTTTTAAGTTTTTGAATTAAATCTAAATTCGGTTTTCTAAATACGATTGTAATTTTGAAAGGCAGTACACTAATTTGAAGAACACTTTGTAAAGTCGAAAGGAAATCAAGGCAGTTTTATGCCCTTGAGGTGATGCTACTAAATTTGATTTGAAAGAAGGCGTGAAGGATGGAAAATGTGAATATTGAACTCAAACCTTATTATATGCAAAATTAACTTTATTAAGTGTTCAAAAACTTCCTTACCTAAACATTAAATCAAACTGTTGCTACTTTAGTGGCTTCAGAAACTTTCGGGTAAAAGGCATTCTAATGTGCCTCGCTACCTTTTTTTACCTTTCTTTTATATTGTTCAAGTCAAAACACAAGTCATGTATTACCTGTCAAAATCTTTCACATGATTAAAGTAAATTTTTTATTGTTTTCAACTTGGATACATGATAGTACTTTTATTAATGTTTTATAGTGGTTTTATTATTTTTAAGAATTATAATAAAAGCATGGGCACTCAAAATTTCCCATTGTTTTCACGGGGACTTTACTCATATTGTATTATTTTACGCAGCACAGGACTGTCAACTGAAGAATGGAAACAAAAATTTCATTTGTTATCTGTTTACATCTGGATTACAGTCAAAACATTAGGCTATTTTGTTGTCATTTGTTTGTTTTGTTTTTGAATTTCGCACAAAGCTATTCGAGAGTTATCTGCGCTAGCCGTCACGAATTTTGAAGTGATACACTAGAGGAAAGGCAGCTAGTCAACACCACCCACCGCCAAGTCTTGAGCTACTTTTTACCAACGAATAGTAGGATGGATTGTTACGTTACAACGCCCCTGTAACTGAAAGGGCGAGCATGTGCGGGGACAGGATTCGAACCCGCGATACTCAGATTACGAGTCGAAAGCCCTAATCATTAAGCTATGCCAGAACTCCTTGTTGCCATCACTAGCAAAGATGTGGTTTTCTCAGAAATAGTGTATTGTTCAAAAAGGGCCTGGCATGGCCTGGCAGTTAGGGCAATCGACTCGCAATCTCAGTGTTGCGAGTTCGAATCCCGTCACAGAACGTGCAAACCTTTTAGAGTTGCTGTCAGGACCAACCACCCGAGAGTAAAAATTATTGGATAATACAAAATACACAAGCGGTCGACCCCAGAACTAGATGGGGGTAAGGTTGAATGAAGAAGAAGACGTTTACTGTCCAAAACATATGTTTCCTTCATATTAGAGCCAAGCGTAGAGTGTTCATGGTTCATGCTCTCTGTTCTTTAGGACCGTGGGTGTGCTATAGTGTAACGGACAAATCGCGCTAATCGATTGGAGTACCTCAAGATTTTGCGGTGGATGTTGTTGACTAGTTGTTGTATTTATTCTAACACTTCAAAATATCCGTTTTATAGCTTTGCACGAAATTCTGAAACAAACTTCTTCGTAGAGTGGTATACGTCACCTTTAATATAAGCAGTTTTGTATTTTTTTATGATGGAACACAGCTATATGCTGCAATGTAAATAAATAGAACTGTTAGAAAGTTTCGTTTCACAATCTGTACTTTTAACTTTCAAGTAATGAACTAAGTTAAAATGTTACATCAAGAAAAAAGTTTGATTAGTTTCAAAATAAAGTTTCGATTAGTTTCAACTCACTACCCTAATTGTGTCCCAAATACAGCAGCAAGGAAAAGAAAAGTGCGTTCGAAAGCCAAACGTTTCCTAATTATTTCATGGCTATTGGTTAGCGACATTACAAAAGAGGAGGAAAGTCATTTCTGTAGAAAAACGATTTCTTTTGATATGCATGAGCGGCTGATCGACTTTAATTTCGCATCATGAGAATACATTTATTTTTTTACTGACTCAGCACTATTACGTAAAAATACACATCTCCTAGTAAAAATAAAGACAAAAAAAATATTTAAAAAAAAACTCATTATTCTAATGAAAATGTTTTATATCTGCATATTTACTAACTGCTTTAGAATTGATCAAATCTTACATATCTTAACAGTTCGTGTAAATCATTAATGTATACACGTTTCCCTAAAATATGTTACCATTTTTGGATGACTTTACTTCTGTTGATACCATTTTATTTTTGTTATAAATATATATATACAAGACCCAATGTCGGTGAAGTAATTTATCTACAAGTTATAGAAATGTATGCTAATTACCATTCTTCGGTTTT